GACTTCAAAAATGCACGCGCGCAGCTCGCAAACGGCTCGCGAGCTGCGCATTCGCGGCACATTCGCCAGATGTGGACGCACCCTTAGGTGCATGAACTTTCTCACAAAAACTTAGATGCCCAATTCTTAAAACCCCGAAAGGCAGGCAATTCCTCGATATTCTGGGGTGTATATACGACATGATTGCTTACCATCTACCACCAGCTTCTTGGATAAGATTATCATTCATATTTCAGAGCATAGGAGCATAATACTAAGATGTATGTGTCACTAAGCCATTTAGACTAGGTAATGAGTTAGAATATCAAAATAGTTCCCAGACCCAAGATACAGAATGTAATTTAAAACTACCTATTAAGTTCTTTTTGTTGCTCCGATCATACTCTTTCTGCCCTGCATCACCCTAACGTTAACTGGTAAGAATGCCTATAGCATGAAGTCCACCTATGTAATTCTATCTATATTTATACTTCTATACTATTACTTTATACTTTATATGCTATAATATTATAAAGAGGTATGTAAGTTTGTATGTAGGGGATAATCTTTGGAACCGCCGGTCGGATTGCCAAAATTCTTTCACTGATAGATAGCTATAATGTTCCTGAGCGCTATAGGCTATAAACATCACGTTACGAATAAATGGAGCCGAGCAGCGGGTGAAACCGCTAGACTAGCTAGTGTTGCATAAAGATTTAGTCAATAACTTAATGTATATCAATTTGTGAGTAAAGTATGGAAGAGAAGAGCCGTGCTTGGGCGCGAATGGGCCAGCTCAGCAGAACACACTGACGTGAATCATAACTTGTGTTGTTTCGCCGTGTGAGTGAGGCTACCGGAGGCCCACTCCTTTCTGTACCCAACCTCATTTTCTGAATGTCCTATTCATAAATCCCTAATAATCCACGAAGAGCCAGCAACGCACTTGCAAATTCTTTGGTATCAGTATTTGAGGCGGCGGAGGGCGGCGCCGATGGTTTCCATCATCAGGTATATCTGTTTGTCGAGCTTATCTTATAAAATATATACTTATATAATAGCAACAATAGATTAGATACTAGTAATGAGAACTAATAACTATTATATTTAGGGTCTGTTTCTCGTATCTAGATAGTTACTATGAATGAGAATTTTCTGCCGCCTACTTGTATCGTGCAGGACGTATATGAAGGTGATGCCTAATTTACAACACTTTTCAAAGCTTATATTATTTTCAGATAACGAATACTCACGAATCAAAGAGAAAAGAGATCTCCTGGAATGCGTCCACGTATTTGGACAAAGTACATCTTAAGGTTATGTTACTTTATTATTCGTAGGCACAGTCTTTGAAACTGTAAAGTCGACCGGCAAAGAGTCTAGACAGGGCGGTTGTGCGGGATGTAAGGGGCGAGAAGGCAGAGAATATTAGTAACTCGGGACATCGTGGTGGCCGGAGGTTAAGGAGCCCGCTTCTCATGCATGAGGGTGTGGATTCGTGGCATCCTGGCAAGTACCAATGTGACTTTTCCGAGTTATATGTTCTTTCTACGATTATTTAGACACCACTGACATAAGGTGAAGGTAAACATCATGAGGAAACCTGGACTTATAATTTCTAATTATAAGTTTGAAATCGCCAACCCGCATTGAGCAAGTGTGGTATGAGAAGAGGCCTTTGCTCAGCAGTGGGCACTTATAGGCTGATGATGATGATGATGACGAACTCGGGACATAAAAATCAGGACCAACTCATGTTTGTCATAGTAATGATTTTATAATAATTAATGATTGCAAATTGTGCACAGGACGTACATTTTATATTTTATGTAAATCCTAACATTTGACGAACCTTTACTTAACTATCAACGAATTCGTATTCAGTTACCTAATAAAAGCTTTTTTGAGGGAGTTTATTGAATGGGAAGCACAGATAGCAATCAATTTTGGAAAAAATCAGTAGGTACTTAACCTACCGTAAATCAAATGGGACTGACTTCCAACAGTTTTTGCAAGAAACTTGTACTCCGCGAGTAAAAGGAACACATGATGTCTAGGGAACTATAGATTTTGGACTCTATAACAAAACAATTAAGATGAACATGAAATAGAACAATTTGTCAGAAACTGTAGGTTAACATGCTGTTGTTCCTGCATGGTTCATGATTCCCATTCCCATTATTACCAAACATTTTGGGAATTTAAAATTGATGACATGGGGTTGGTATGAATCAAATTTTAATATAAACTGGAACGTGAGACTTCGTTTAAATCTCAAAAGTGTTCCTCAGCATCATTAACATGACCAGTCTAGTGCCCACTGCAAAGCATAGGCCTCTTCTGACACGGAGTAGGAGCGAGAATTAATCGCCATACCTGATCAAGGCAATTTCTAACTTATATTTAGACATTATAAGTCCATGTTTCCTCACGACAATTTGTCTAAATATGTGTATCAGTTACTTCTAAATAATCTTTGAAGGTATCATCATTTAATACGGAAAACACCATTTTGGTACTTTTCAAGTTTTACACCTACACGCATGAGAAGCACGTGCTTTCACTTATGATACGGAAAGAAATGAAGAGATAAATAACTACATAAATATAATTCGAAATAATTCAAATATATACATATACAAATGTTACTTTAACAATATTTGCCATTTTTAGGATTTGAATACTCGGAGTACTGGGGAATTAGAGCGGCAAGCATCAATAGGTCCGTGTTACAAAAAAACTTTACCATTCGGAGAGCCATCGGGAATATCAATATTTTTGCCTAAGGTAAAAACTATAAAAAAAAACAATTCGATATTTGAAAGTATGTAGACTTATTATATTTCATTTTTTGCTTTGTAAGAAATAAAATTAAGACTTCGTGAACTGCTTGGACAAATACCTGTGCTGCTATAAACAGAAAATATTTAAACTGTCTGACTATAAACAAACTTGTGTTTAAAAACTTCCAAAATATTGTTTTGTAACTGGTAAAAAGCAGCGTTTTTCTTTCAGAAATCTTCGAAAAGTATCCATGAGAACGTCACGTTTGTAAAATCGGGCATCAGTTTGGTCTTATCAAAGGTAAAATATTAACAAATCTATGTATCTTGAAATTAAAAAGCTGTAAAATTTGTTTGTTTGCTTGAACGCGCTTATCTCGGCAAATACTGGTTCGAATTTAACAATATTTTTTGTTATTTCATTTATCGAAGAAGATTATAGAATAAGAGGATTTAATTAAAATATGTAGAATAATAAGTGATATTAAACTGTGATGTTTCAGAAAAACTTAGATTATTCAAAATCAAAGGAGTTTGAAATCCCAAAAGACTATATCGAAGTTTCAAGAAAAAAGGAAAACATAGAATTCAAGGTATAATATTTTTTTATAAATCCAAACCTCCAGGTACCAAGTTCTTTTAACATTGTTCTGCAAATATAATACACAGAATAAAGACCTGTGACACAATGTCTAAAAATATGCTATGTACCATATAAATTTAAATATAGAATGCAATTGCATGAACTTTGTATAACGTAACTATATGGGGAACAGTAGGCCTACTGAATCTACAGTGAATCTTCCGCGCGAGAAAGAGGGATGAAGATATAAAAAGGTGATTAGCTCCATCCCTCTTTCTCACCCAGAAGATTGACGCTTTAACACGTCATCGATCAACTTTTGTTTTTAATAATGACTCATAATTTGCACTCCTGGCGAATGGACGATTCTACGACAGTAATATAAAATCGACTGATGAAGACAATTTATCAACAAGTGCAAAATGAAGTTTACTCGCAGATAAACATGGCTAAATATTTCTGGTAAATGTTGGGCAGCAAGCTGCCGGGCAATACCACCTCGCCTGTTCGAACGACACTCCTTTTCCGACCTCAGAGGGATACGCCTTTTATAGTTTCATCCCTCTTTCTCGCCCAGAAGATTCTCGCTCTAACACGTCATGGCCTGTAGGCCTACCTACAGGGAACTTTATTCTTTGTTTCCGAAATACTTTTCATTTCTTTGTTTCAAATCTTACAAGCCATATTTTTTAATGTATATGTATTTGTCAGGTTGCAGACTGCCACTGTGAAACTTTATTTGGAAATCTTAAAGGAAAATTAGAGACCTTTCGTGGGAAGATAAAACATGCACTACACATGTAGTGTTGCTATCACGAATATATATATTTTTGGACTTCTTTATTATATTTTGCAATCATAAGAGGCCTTCGTCGATGAATTCCAGTTTTGCTGGCTACCAGCCAGCCTAAGAAGCGACATGGATCCAGTCATTTAAATTATTTGCTTAATTTCAGCAATTTTTTATACTTATTGATTTTATATATTTGAATTTACAAATAAAATTCTCATTTTAATGCTGTATACTTTTATTTCAACTCATAATTATAAAACAGAAACTTTTAACAACATATAAAAAGGCACATTTTTATTGGCACTAGTAGGACAAGCAATTCGTGGGTACAACTTATTTCTACAATAAATGCCCAATATTTTACTTTGCATTTAATGCGGTATTCAATAATTTTCACTAGTTTTGAAATTAACTGTAAAACATTCTGCATCGATTTTGTAGACTTTTTAGTTGGTAACATTTTTAAAATATTTCTAAACACTGGCAATACAACTAACATAACATACTGATGCTGTTTTAAACTGAATACATTAGCATTTTCATTATTTCCACGTTAACACTAATCAGACTTAAAAATTTGTACTGACTAGGAAATGCCGTAGCGGTCTCGTATAATTCTTTCATTCTGAATAATAAAAGCAATTTCAATCTTATCTCAAGTCTGAAGGAAGCTTAGTGTCACAGAAACTTTAATCTTTTCAGGTTCAGTCTATGAAAATCTTTTATTTTAGCAATTCTCTAACATTTTTGATAAAATTTACTTGCAAGTCCAGTGGCGTCAATTGTACGGAAAATGTATTTCGAAAAGTGACAAAATTTGTTTATTCGTGGCCTGAAGCAGTAGGTGCAAAGACTTGGTCTTTTAATACTTTGTAAGGCAGGGATTCCGGTTTTTCTCCCTGATCTCGGCAGCCATGCGGATGCTCTTGGGGACCTTGTTTTGGCACGAAGCGGTTCGGACGGGCATCTGGTGCGATATATTGGCTGCACGGGCCGCATCGTAATCGGATTCTCGAGGACGCCAGCATAACTCTGTGCCACCACATTTGCAGGACATCTCTCGACAAATCTGTAGTCAAAGTCAAAATCATTTAGTATATGTACTGCTGAAGCAAGTGCAAGTCAAAATCATTTATTTCAATTTTTGAACGTCAAAATAGAATAGTAGTCTGTCAGTCTGTTCGTTAGTGAAGCTAGGCTTTGCATGTAACTCACTAAGCTTCCATTCTACTTTAATTTAAAATTTTCTTTCATAAGAACCTCTTCCTATAATAACCAACATTACAAAAAAATAATTACCAAAATTGGTCTAGAAAGGCGGTCGATCGATGCTTACCATCAGGTAATCCGTCTGCTCGTTTGCCGACATATACCATATAAAAAAGAAAAACCGGTGTATATACTGACCGAGGCAAGGTACTCGTCTCTGCAGGAGTCAGGCCAGTCGCAGGTCCAGTTGGTGGGGGGCACGCAGGGGACTACCGGCTGCGTGTAGCACGAGCACGGCGGCTGGCTGCACGGGGTACAGCAGCACTGCTGGCACATCGTGTACACCTGGACGTAGGGGGGAGGCACATCGCTTATAAGTACTCTGGATGGACTTCAATGCAATTTTGCAATTGTCTTGAATAGCTAAATTCATCCCTCTAAATCATTAAATCCCTAACAACACACTAAAGGCCGGTAACGCACCGATTGCTTACCATTAGGTAAACTTGTTAGCTTACATATCCTATTGAAAAAAATGTTAATACTAGAACATTTTCTTTACATTTTCTTTATGGGATTAAACGCGCACGTACCTTTTGTTTTTGCTTGACGTTTCGGCAGGCTTACTCCTGCTGTAGTCACAAGCGGACTGTCCGGCGATACTAACTACTCTGTCAATGATGTCCGAGTTGATTTATTTTCATCTACCCTCGATGTTAATAAATGTTCTTTATAAGGCCGCGTAAACACTACATTCATTGTGTCCGGATTTTAATAGGCTTAGAATCGTGATGCTGAATTTTTGCAGTAACTGGATTCCACGTGACCGACAGTTTGAATCCCTTATTAAAAAATTCTTGTGTTTTTTGAATTATTGTTCTGTGAGCCTTAATGTTATTAAGCTATTGTTAGCTTACCAGCCAGACTGCCCGAGCTATCTCGTTCCTTATGTACGGCAAACAGTTGCCCAGAAGACAGTTCTCGAACTTGGACAACTCTGGTATACCCAAATTCTTCTCCACTCCTGATGGTCCCAAAATTACCTGGAATTTCATATACCAATGATTACGCACATAATAACAAAAATGTAAAATTAAAAAGTCCGTACTTAGGTGTTTAATGAAGTTATTAAATGCCTAATATAAATAAAGTTTTTAAATATCAATCAAAACAGTTTACAGTATTTATAACAGTTTTACAAAATAACCCCAAAGGTCCAATAAAAGATCTGTATAAAAGATGATATATACAAAGGATGAGTAACGTTCAGGTAGTGTAATTAATACAATATTTTATTGCATAAGAGTGCGATGTAATTTTCAAATTGATCAAAATGTAAAAAAAAATATAAGATGACGGACTTAGGTCAATGGAGTTGTGACGAGGTGATATTTAGCAGAAGAAAGAAAAAGGTGTGCCATTAAGTTCTAAGACTGGCCAATAACAAAGATGAATGAATATTCAAAAAACGAATTTACTTCGCTAGCAAAGAACTGGCAATCGGGTGCGCAAGTGCCCAGACTGTCGACGTATGCGCACTGAGTGATCTTCTTTCCTTGTAAAGCCTTGACCACGTTGATAGTTGTCCGAGCTATGGCGTACGCGCCGGCGAGACAGGCCGTCGCAGTGGCGCATCCCTTCGCCGCACAGACTGCCTCGTTACCACTCATTATACAGGATGTCACACATTCAATCTGAAATTGTATTTTTAAGGTATAGGGCGGCTAACCTGTTATCAATCTACTCATCACCTTTTTGAGGAGGGAAAATCATCAAATTACTTATTTCGCCCAGGGTGGACGACAGGAGTGTGAGACTCTTAATGACTAAAAACCCCACCCCCGTTCCTTCGGCTCTAAGCTGAAGCCGTGGCAACCCCGGCTTATCTGCTGAACATCTAATGTGTGCGATGCCGTTATTTTTAAGGTTGTTAGTGATTTGGGTGTTTTAAATTGTTTTTCTAAATATAGACATGTACTCAAGAATTAGTCGAAACTGCTGCTTATTATTATCGGGAAAGGAAATCCATACAATAATATTTTTAATAAAAAGAAACAATCATCAACTATATAACCTTATCTTAACAGTCTGCAAGGTTAGCGTAATTGCTGAGAAACTGGCTGTCGTGCAACATGTCGCGGATTCACGCTCAGAACGACACTTGGTGTGATCCAAAAATTGTTGTTTCGAATCTGAGTTTTTAGCGTATATGAATTTGTATGTTTGTAAACGCACGCAAGACACAGGAGAAAAACGTTTAAAAGAAATCAAAGCATAAACAATACCTGTTCTTGTGTCATATGGCAGGGATACACAGCGGCTGATAGCACAGGCACCATAGTCGCAGGAGAGGCGCCCCCTATGACAGGAACCCTTACGGCTTCGGGCGGGACCTTTATGTAATCAGCCAGTACCGTGTTGGCCCTCACACAGTTCAGCTCGACACACCCGAGCAGTGACCGAGGGTTGTATGTGCCCCGAAGACGCTGGATCTCACCCACTAAGGGTACCATACTCTCCACCGGTTCCGTCGCTACTATTGTAAACGCCTGATGGAATGAAGTTTTTAGAGTTCAATGTTGATTCTTATTTTCTGTCTTACTCATAATTATAAATGCGAAAGTTATGATGTTTGGATGTTTGTTACTCAATCACGCCAAAATGGCTTGACGGATCTGAATGAAATTTGGCACAGGCATAGGATACATTCCGGAATAGGACATAGGCTACTTTTTATCAACATACCACGAGGACGAAGCCGCGGGCGGATGCTAGTTAAGTATAAAGTTCTAACTAACACTATAACAAGCAATATATGTTAATCACAGCTTACTTATAGATATCAAAAATAAAACTGTTAGTAATTTTTTTTTATCTAGGTACTACATACACAACATCGAAAGTCTTTAAGTCACGAGAAAATAAGTTAGTACATTTGAAACGACTGCTTGTCTATTGCCTAAAAAACAATGTGCGTAAAAAATAATATAGATATATTGTTAGTTTTACTAACAATATATCTATATTATTGAAAGGGTAGTAACGCGAAAAATAATTATTTAAATACCTTGGAAGACTTGACGTTTCGACCTGGTTGGCAGACTGAGAATCTGCTTGCTTAGAGACTTTTCGCGTTAATACCCGTTTAATAATACTTACATTGTAAACATGAAACGCGAAAGTTTAAGAATAAAATAAACTAACCGTTGGACATGTATTGCATATTTGAAGAGCTATTTCGGTTATGACGGGCGCACTCTGTTCGAAGGTGTCCACTTCGTTTCGTGCCACAAGCACTACTACCTTAGCGTCCTGAAATCACGAACGCAATCACTTGAGTGACTGTAGAAGTAATTAAAAACGTATACGCGATATGGATTTTCATACAAATGATCAAGTTCGAAATTTGAAAACTGTTGAACCGATTTTATTGACACTTGGTACTCTCATGAGAAATTTTGATGTAAGTAACGTATAAAATAATTTGACGTTTCAATACAATAAAATGTTGAAAAATAACTATTCTTTGATCCATCGATCGATCGATACACTAAGTTCTAGTTTTTTTATCAAATTATTAAGAAATAAGTAAGCTATTTAACGCAAAAATGTTATGACGTCATAGCTCAGTTTTTCATACAAATAAGAATGAGCTACGGTCGTAGGCGCCTACGAGCGAAGCATTGCTACGGACAAAAAATTACAAAAGTTGAATGGCAATGATTTGGACTTTTCAAGAAGTCTGGGGACGGTTCACTCACTCTTCATCTTTTACTCTTGTAAGTATAGATAGATGTATTTTTTCTCGTAAAAACAACTTATGGATTTTAATGAAAATGAGCACATATATACATTATAGTGTGGAATAACACATAGGTTTTTAATCCAGGTAACGCGAGTCAAACCGGTGGCAGAATCTGGTTTAAAATAAATCAAAATAATAAAAATTACATGTAAGTAACATAGATTTCTTACTTGAAGTGCATCGCAAAGCATGTGTTTTCCGGAGAACGAAGATACTTTACACTTAGTATCTACATGACTTAGTTCCATGCCAAACCCACAGGTGGCGCACATGTCGTACAAAGCTATCTCATCTAGTAGAGGGCACTGCTTCAGTAGTAGGGCTAAAGGCTGACCTTGAATTATAAAGAAAATAAATTGTACGTCTAAATAGTTAATTGAATAGTTACTATCGTGACACATACTAAATTTATTGCAAATAAATTTACATGAATTAACTAAGAAAAGCTCGACTAGTTTCAAGTCACAACGGAACTCTTATTCATTTATTTATTTATTTATTTATATTTAAACATTACATTCATCATTACAGGCACACCTAATACGATAAATGCAGTTACATAATATTATTGGTAAACTTATAACACAATATCCGGGTAATAACCGTAAAATAATTTAGACAAAGAAAAACAAAAGAACATAAGCACAAAGAACCTTAATTAAACTTACAGGCTAATACATTTCCACAAAACTATCCCTAATAAACGTAAATAACTTTAGTAATAACAAATATGTACTTATATTTTAAAATCTATGTCTAGTTACTAACAACATAAATTATATAAATAGAATCAAATAAGTACAAATCCTAGGAACTTATATCATGATCAGAGTGCACGGCACGCGGCGCCACTAACAACACCCCCAAAACGATTTTCTCAGATAATTCGCGGGAGTAAGTCGTTACATTCAATCAATTTAGTAGTACCTAATAGTTCAGAAAAAACGCATCCTTATACGAAAAAAAATTTTACCTATACCTAAGTAAATATTTCTAAATTCATTTCAAGAACATTAATAATAGGCAGCACGATCCTTCAAAGTCATATCGAATTGCGAAAACTAGTGACAACAAATGGAAATGCACGCATCATTTCGTTAGGCTCCTAAGTAGACGTATGCTGTTTTGTAGTCTAAATATCACGTCATATACTAACCGGTGCATCCAGCAGCTCCGCAGATGGTGACCTTCATCCCAGCGGGACAGGTACTGTACTGCTTCCTGACTTCTCTACCACGCAATCTATCGTAACACATTCCATTATACCCTTCCAATAAAAACCGCCGTCTACCAGTACGGCATCCACCTAGCACAGATCTCCAAATTGGCATATTTTTTTGATAATTTTAATTATACAAACGTTACATGAATTTTTATCAGCACTTCACATGGCTTAAAATTTTACAATTTTGAAATATATTTTTTTCATTTATCATCCATAGAGCGTGAACTTTTTTGTCATCCGTCTGTTTTGATGGTGTGGTTATGGTTTGTAACGGACGCAAAAAGAAGAATGGTTGCATTTTGACGTTGCTATAGAATTATGTAATTTAATGTTATGCAATCTTATGTTGAAAACTTTTTGATCGTCGTGAAGTCTATCTATTATATCATCAGTCGCTTGTTAAAAATTAGGACATTTCATAGGATGGAGGGCATGCTTAAAAATTGTGTTATTGGAAACAGTAATTTTTATTATTATTTTAAAATATTTTGAAAAATAAAAAAACCATTTAAAAATGTAAAAAACAATTGCCCACCATTTACTACCGGCAGTCAGGGCTCCAGAGAAAGGAGCCTTCAGACAATAGGAGCCGTGTCCAGTAGTATGTACCGCTTTCTGAATCAAGCCCTTAACCCAGTCGCCTAGCGGGTCTGCGGTCGGCGAGTAAGGGTAGCTCACCGCCCGACCAGAACCAGACCCGAGCGTACGGCGCGTAGCGTTCCGCGCGCGTCTCAAAGAGCCAATAGACCACCACAGAGGGGGCCCCAAAGGGCTGATGTTCAGCCGGGGTTACGGGGTAAGCGCAATGAGGCACCGCGACCTCGGCCCAGAGCAGGAGAAGGAACAGGGGAGTTTTTAGTCAGAAAGAGTCTGACACTCCCTCCCGCCCGGCCCTGGGCGGGAGAAGTCATTTGATGACTTTCCCCTCACAAAAAAAACCAGTCGCCTAACGAAAGCCTCTCATTATTATTTGTATGTTTGTTTCCACTCACGGACCACAGGATCCCGGACCTTTGAAAGGCGTATGAGGGGCCGAAGTCAACTTGCACAGGCCCATTGGACAAATTTAATATTAGTAAAATGGGACAACTTTGTTATATACATATCACAGTAGTAAATAAAATTATTATTAAATCCAATAGAATATAATAGTCTGTGAGTAGTTCACGAAATTAAACAAAAGAAACTATTAATTTTCGAATACCTAGATTAGATTCCACATACAATGTGGCGTTTGCTGCAACTAGGGTATAGTTACAGTGTCACACCAATACTATTTTCAAAATAATGACACATGGGTAGCTGGCGTCAATTTTACGTGTAATTGTTAGTTACAGCGGTGTAGCATACGTGTTACTGTGACACCGTGTTTAGCTTTACGTAACAGATTGAAGATAAGACAATCGGCGAAAAGGTTTGTACCGCTGATAGACATTTAATCACTACTTTTTACATGCATGTGCCTGTACTACTCCCTGAATAAATAATGTGCAAAGATACAATCAGTCAAAGTGTAGCACTCTGTATAATAATTGTGCTTTTCAGTAACTAGCTGACAATATATGGATTCATTCGTACACAGGTGCACAAACTACTACCTCCTAATACTTTTTAGACAATGTTTTCAAACGTAAAAAAATACTTTTATTCTAATGCAAACGAGAATCTAAATATACGCCAAATATTTAAACCTCTTTATATTGTGCTCTCATTTTTTGGTCTCTTTCCTTATAGTATTAAGTTCAATAAGAACAAACGTGGTCTTACTATAATCAAGAAGTCGATCTATATCAATTCGTTATGTTCGATCTCGTACATTCTTGTTCTGTTCACGTTCTGCGCGCTGCACGTACGGTATGTTATCGACTCCATTAGTGACACTGTGATGACAAGAGAATTACTGACTCAAATGAACTATAACGTGGAAACTGTTAGCTTCCTCATATTCTGCGTAGCCGCATACTTCTGTGCGTTTAAAAACAGAAATACGTACGTCAAAATAATAAACAGAATAGCTAATAATATAGACACTCCTAATATGGAGATTAACTTGAAGAAGCTACGTTTTCAAATGAATGTGATCATAACCTACCTCGTTCTGGTACTGTTACTACAGATAGCTGTAAACTGTTCGCGAGATGATTCTTTATGGAAGATGTTTCTTGTACACATGACCTTCATATTGCCCCAAATGATACAGTTTACAGTGCTAGCATTTTACTACGTGCTCATCCTGATGCTGGTCGTGTTACTGAAGAATATTAGGGTCCACATAGCGAATCTTTTGACGGAGAAAATTATTGTGATGGATCATTACGCAAAGTCCGAAGACAAAGTTTTGACGCTACAATACGTGGAGTCTTTATACGAAATAGCTTTTGAAGTTAAGCGAGATATTAATGGAGCGTTTCAAATGCCATTTTTGATAACTACTTTACAATGTTTTCATACAATGGTAAGCGAGTCTCACATTATATACCATGGGCTTGTTGTGGAGAGAGACTTTACCCGGCACCCCATTGTAAATTGTTCAATTTGGATCACTTATCAAATCATCAAATTGTATATAATGTCTAGAACAGGACATTTGCTGAAGCACGAGGCGAGTACCAACCTGACAATATAAACATTTTAGTAAGGTAAAAGATATAATGATGATAACTTTTGTGCTATTTTTTCAGGTTAGTAAAATAGGACAAGCATTACATAGTATACCGACAGCGAAACACGATATACGATTGTTATTGGAGGTAACGCACCTTACATTACAAAAGTATAATTTAAAATAGCAATAGATAATTCTTTTTCAGATCTTTTAAAAATACCTGTGATTTCATTAATATAAACGTGACCTTTATCACACAAAGAGAAAATACGCCACGCAACACATTGCACAACAACGTACTCGCCTAATAACTGTGCAGTTTTGATAGGGAGTGCCATGCTTCGGTACGAATGGGTCGAGCCTGACCCAAGTGATGGCCGCACAGAAATATTGGCCAGCGTGTATTAATGCTTGCGTTGTGTGTTTACCGGAGGCCCTACATGCTTCTCCAGAATCCACAATCCCCCAATCAATCCTCACATCCCTATCACTCAAAAGGCCAGCAATTCACTTGTATTGCGGAATTATTCTTCGTTTGCCATCGACCTTCAAAAGAAGATAGCTGATAGCTTAAGCTTCAATAAGATCGGGTTGCGGAGGCAAGTGTAGCTCGCCGCCCGACCAAAAACAAGCCCGAGTGTACGGCGCATCACGTTCTGCGCGCCATCAGACCATCAGACCATCACAGATGGTCCGGGCCAGAGCAGAATAAGGGGATTGGTAGTTTTTAGTCAGTAAGAGTAAGGCAGAGTGTGTCGGACACAAAAAATAACTTCAAAATATCACTTAATTTATGTTTTCCTGTAAATTTTCAGATACAACATTTTTCATCGTTAATTTTATTCCACGGTGACGATATAACTGCTTATGGACTATTTTCGTTGGATGCAGCTCTTTTATCTAAGGTTTGTGTTATGAATATCGTGATACTTGGACATAGCAACTAGTATTATGTACTTGACTTAAGCTCAAAATATACCTATCACTAGGGCCTGTTGTGTCAAGTCGGTCGCCCCGTTTTCAAACATTTGACAGCACGGTACACGAAACGATATCCTTAATCCCCGTTTATGTAATTAGTCCCATGTAGATAATGGTGTCTTTTAATGGCGAACCTTTATAACTGCATATTTTTACTCTTAAGTTTTAAAAAAATCGTACGTAAAGCAACAGTGCTCAACCAAGCAAACCGAACACGAAACTTTTTGCTCGTCAGTCGCAACTTTATTTTTCGGGGTTGCGGGGCAAGCGCAATAAGGCAACGCGGCATCGGCCTAGAAACAGAAGAAGGAACGAGGTGTTTTAATCAGTTAGGGCCTGACACTCTCCCTCTCGCCCCACCCTGGGTTACCCGCCCATACATGAAATGATTAATCCCTCACAAAAAAATAAAATTCAACTTGCGACTTGCGAACAGTTGACTGAAGAGGATAATCTATTGTTGTAATGTACTTACTTAATATTGTATTTTCATGTTTTGTGTTTTATTTTCACAGATAATTGCTTCGTCTGCTATGTACTTAACTATTGTAGTCCAGTTTGACAAAAAATGACTATCTTCAAAATTATTTATGTACCTACCAATTACCACCAAACCGTCAAATTATTCTTTACATTTGCGACTTTATTACAACAGGATAAAGCTGAAAATCTATTTTGAGAGTAAGAGGGTAGGTAGCTTGATTTAATATTGACGACAAACTATCAGCTTACACAGATTGGTGGGACAATTTTAAATAATTAGCTATTATTCTTGAGAAATTATTATGAAGGTTTGTGGAAAAATGTCTGCGCGTTTGGATGATAAATGGCCAATAATGTCCTTCATTGATTCTTAACCACGACCAAAAGACGTCAAGCGCCAAAAGCGCTTCTAGCAGCGCTGAAATTGATAAAAACTCATAAAATAAAGGCAGCAAAACGGCAATAGACTATTATGAACATAATAAAGAATCATTAATAAATACCTATCAGTAAAACAAATGGTTTTATTTATCCAAAAACATTTCTAGGTATACCGTGTTATCAATTGATCAAGTACAGCAGTGAATAATTCATACACAGAACAGAAAAGTGGATTTATAGAATAACAGTCAAAAATGCACTTGACTATTAGGCCGCTAATCACAATGGCGCTAGTAGTGCAATAAAAATGAAACCAATAAAAAATTGCAAAACTTTTAGGTATCATCTGTTTCAAAGTTGCCAGACTAAATAATTATCTCAGAAATGGGGAATGTCATTAGTTTTCACACTATCGAATTTGTGTTTGGCCTGTACCGTGTAAATACTAAATTCGTTAAGATTTAACAGCCATAATTATTTTGGAACTTATTCTATGTATACATGTATACGAGAAGTTTAAAATGAGATACGTACTTTGCGTTGGGCACTGTGGTCGAGTCAATGGTAGGATTCAACTTCAGAACTGAAGTACTTACAGATTAGGCATATTAAAATAAATATGATGAAAATTATTATACCTAACTCGTACTTTGGTTAAGACAATAATATAAATTGTTTTTTTTTAAATTGTATTGTGCCATGTGGTTCAATGTTGATTTCGTTATTTGAGAAAATCATAACCGTATCCATACCGTATCGTTGAGTGTCGTGTCGCATTAGAAGTTTTAAATATCTACATAATTTATTAACTTTTTTGAGGATTGAAAAATATTTAAGTTTATAAATATCAAATGACTTCTCCCGCTCTATGTATGATGAGCAGAGCACGGGTTACGGTACATTATTGCGTTAGCAGCCCGGCTGGTCATCAGCTTTAGTGGGCCTCACCTGAGGTGGTCTGTGGTTCTATTTAGACAGCTTGGTCGCCATCCGCAGTCCCACAGCGGCCGGGCCGGCGGGCAGTCGGCCTTCTTATTTATGAGGATGACCGCCTCGCAGAAGAATGAAATAGCGTCCCAATTCCTCTCACTCTGCATCATACCCCTGAACTAAGGCCCCTAATACCCTGAACTAAGGCCAGGGGCGAAAGGATGCCCCAGCGATTGCTTCTATGAGGACATGCCGGTGCTCAGCTCAAGCAAGGCACACCTTCTCCGTGTGATGCTCGCAGTGGCAACAACCTCGTTTCAATATCCGATAAGTATTTGCGTCAGGCAGAAGGTGAGAATGCCGTGGCGTCTCTTATGCCACTCCTTAAAAAGGGCCTGCGCTAATGTACGTACCTAGCCAGGGCGTTCTGGCGTACCTAACACGACACGCAACGTCTCGGTACTCGGTAGTGTAATTTTGCCTTTAGAAATATATATATTCTGTGGATTGGTGTGGTTGCTGTTATTCTCGGGCAGGGAGAAAATTATTTTTACTCTGACAACCGGTAAATATAATAATTCTAATAATCTTGTAGAAGCAGCTTAGACCGACTTTCCGTGGTTAGTATAATTATCGGAAGAAAAAATAGTTTCAAATAACTCATAAATAAGTATCTAATCGCTTATTCTAATAGTTTCAGTGTTGTCTTGTAAACAAATACTTCAGAAGAGTTCATTGACAAAATGGTAAGTTGAAAAAAGATACCCAATAGAACATTTATTGTAATCAAGTTACAATAGGCATTTAATTTATTCTTGTTTGATTTTTGCGTAAGTTTTCTAGTATCGAACCGAGGTTATTATGAAAATAAGCACCGAAATGTATCGCGCCGGATACCGGCATGTGGTGTAGCCATTTTGAGAGCGGCGGCCGCCATGTCACAGACCTGAGTACTAGATCACGAAGTTCATAAACCCGTGAAATTTTAATCGATTAGTGCATTGAAATACAATTTTAGGGCTCGGCGCTGTCTTGAAATATTTTTGGGAAAACTGAGTCTAGTTTTAGTAGAATAAAAAGCAATTTTACAGTCTCGTGGGAGTGGTGATATCAATACGATCTTGTGATATCTATCATGTATGTTCTTAGGACTCGGGTACGTTTTTTTAATCTAACAAAAGACTTTCATAGATATCTTGAGTTAGTTACTTAGCCACGTCACAATGAATGCATTGTGACTTCATGTTGACAGCAAATAACTGGGCTACGTTAATTACCATTGCATAGGTGCACCGATTGTTTTGAAAGTGATATGAGGTTGTTTATTTTGCATAGATGGACGGAAATGTAGTGCATCCTCACCCGGGAGTGGTCCCGGGTGGCATCCCAGGCGTGGTACATGGCATGGCGGTGCATGGAGCAGGCCCTGACGGCGAACATGCTCCTCACGGACCGCGCCGCCGTTACCAGAACCGACCAAAGCCTCCTAACAACTTGGAGCGTTTGCCCCTGGATGAAGCTGCTAAAAGGGTTAGTACACATATTACCAATGATAAATACTGGGTATTACTTATTAAAGAGGGTGGGTAGATTTTGTAACAAAAATGAGAGTTCTTTGCTACTTGATACGGCAATTCTTAAAAATTATGTTCATTAGGTAATAATATACTGATATCCACATAGTACTTCTTTGTTGTTCTTATTAATTGTTAACATGCCTCAGGGCTTTTTCAAAGACACTTAATTATTTTCAATGATCAATGTATGTTATTCATAGATCAGCTGTTTTTCCTAAATATAG